TTTTATATATCTAGCTATTCTAGTAACTAGGTTATATTACTTTCCTAGTAGTAGGATTTATTCTAAGACTTATAGTAGCTATCTTACCTTCTCCTTTAGTTCCTAGTATTCCTTCTATTTATTAAGGAATATTTAGTCCCTATTATACCTTTACTAGTACTATTAGTTTTTATATTTATAACCTTATCTTTAATTTCTTAGTTATCTTTACTAGTTCTTATATTATTTTTTATAGTATAGTACTATACTTTAATTAGTTATTCTTCTATACTATTAAGTTCCTCTTATAGTATAGCTACTTATTAGTATACTCTAGTGATTTATTTACCTTAGTTACTTAGCTAGTCTATATTTTCTTCTATAGCTATTATATAGTACTCCTACTCTTTTTATTAGGGAATATATATATCTTCTATAAATTTTTCATATTCTTTCTATTATTTATCTACCTTTCCTATATACTTCTATACTTACTAGAAGTTATTATAGGTTATTTCTAGTAGGTTTAGAGTTCTTATTATAGTACTTAGACCTACTACTCTATTTTATAGAGTCTCCTAGAGATAGTATCTTCCTAATTCTCTAGTTTAACTTCTATTTTATTTTATTTTATTAGATCTAGCTTCCTATTTCTTTAACTTTTAGATAATATTATCAAGTAGTATTAGGGGTATATCCTAGTCCCTTATTTCTAGTTCCTAGAGCTAGTTTCTATAGTACTCTAGGTTATAGATGATATAGTTATATTATTCTATATATTTCCTTTACTATATAAGTATATACTTTTCTAGTTTTTCAAAACTATTTACTAGGTCTTAGTTCACCTTTTATTAGTTCTTAAACTATTATATCTTTTAAGGTATCCTTATTCCTTATTAAGTTATACTAGTTTTTAAAGATATACCTATTTTCTTTAAGACTAGTTTATAGGTTTTCTAATATCTTCTAATTATAGTCTTTCTCCCTTAACTTAGGGTTTTATTCCTAGAACTTTTAGACCTTAGTTCTATTATTAGGTTAGTATTTAAGCTATTTATTATAGAATAGTTCTATTACTTTAAGGGGGTATTTAAGTAAGTCTTCTACTATCTTCTATCAGGGGTAGTATATCCTATAGTAGCTTATCATTCTAAGTTACTTTAGCTTTCTAGGGTAGTATCCTACTCTATCCTTACTATCCTAGTAGGTATAGTAATTATCATTATAATATACTATCTAGTATATAGTATAGTAGTCTAGTAGCTTACTAGCACTTCCTAGCTCTTTAGTTTACTTATTATACTATTTCTATCCTATTATAGGTATAGGTTTCTATAGTTTCTTTTCATTTCTAAAGTTACTACTAGTCTTACTTTAGTATTCCTATATATAGTACCCTAGTTTTCTATAGTTAAAATACTCTCTATTCTTACTTAGTACTAGTTTAAGTTCTCTACTAGCTACTCTAAGTTCTATTAGTCTAGGGTATATTCCTATAAGGTATTACTATTAGCCCTTCTAGCCTTAGTATTAGTATAGTATTTTTCTAAAATAGGTTATTTCTACTTAGGTTTTAGTACTACTTCTTTTCTTATTCTCTTTTATATAACTAGTTATTAATAGACACTACTAGCTTAATATAGTCTATAAGTATAACTAGTAGAGGTTATACTCTAATAAGTTAGTCTTTTACTTTTTCTTTAAGTCCTTAATAGAATAGGTTAATAAGGACCTTATCTAGGTAGTTTAGATATAAGGCTACCTATCTAAATATAATAATATACTATAAGGCTACTCCTTTCTATCTAAGGTTATAGAGTTAGTTCTATATAGCCTTATCCTTATCTAGTTCTCTAAAGGCTCCTTAATAGTATACTTAAAGTTTTTATACCTAGTGAAAACTATTTTAGTAAACTCTAACTATCTATAGGTACTAACTTTAAGGAAGTCCCTTAGGGTTAGTTTAAACTAATCTAAAGTAGGTCTAGTAAGATACCTCACTATATATTATACCTAGTCTATACCTATCTTTAGTTATAGGTAGTATAATAGGTACTCCTTTATTTAGGTAAGGTATATATAGAGTTTTATATAGTTTCTATTAAACTTCTCAGGTTTAGGGATTTTAAGATATAATACCTCCCCTTCTATTACTAATCCTACTACTATTTTTTATAATATAGCTTTAGTTTTTATAAGGTAGCTATATAAGTTATTAATAACTTATTACTAGCCTTATATATTATCTTATACCTTTCTAAAGGTATTATTAACCTAATCCTTAGGTATATACTTAGTTTTATTATCTAAGTCTACCTCTATCCCTTTATTATCTTCTTTAATAGGGGTAGGGGTAGAGGAACTCTTCTCTAGTTCCTTCCCCTTACCTTTAGCGCTCCCCTTAGTACTTCCTATAATAGAGGATATAGTTCTTAGTTAGTACTATCTAAAAGGGTCACTTACTAAATAGGAGTAGTTAATATATGATATTCTAATACTAGGATATACTACTTAGGGTTAGGTTATATTAGGGTTAGAATAGTTAGGCCTATTAGTAGCTTAGTGAGGTAATTAAATAGTATAATAATATTATTATCTATAATATATATTTAAGTATAGGGGTTAAGTATACTTAAATTAACTACTAGAAAGGATATAGAACTTCCTTTCCTCTAAGGTCTACTTATTCCTTATATAGATTTTGATTGTCTTAGGACTGTAGTCCTTGTCGTTAGTCTTGGTAGACTAATATTCTACTCCCGTCATTCCATTAGTAGACTAATACTATTCTATTATCATTCCTTATTAGGACTAATACCTTATCCTAGTCAGTCCTTATAGGCCCTCTAGACTAGCTGCTATATTCCTCTAAACATTATCCTTTTCTACTAGTCTAGACCGCTTCCTGGTCTCCTTTCTAGGCTGCTTATAACACTATTAACTCCTACTTATTTCTATAGGTACTATTTATATAGTTATTAGTCTTTCTTTTTTATTCTTATATTCTAGGTTTCTATATAAGTTAGTAAAAGATATATTATTCTTCCTTAAGGTTTCCTTCTAAGCTTCCTAGTTTTTCCTAATTATAGTCTCCTAATTTTAACCCTTTAGTTTATTTAAGAAATCTAATAACTTATATTTAGCTTTATTCTACTAGTTACTCTAGTTTACTTTCCTATAAGTATAGTTCTACTATTTCTAGTAGGTATTCCTATAAAATCTTTTATAATAGGTCCCTCTTATCTATTTAAATTATTTATAGTAATCTATAGGTAATTAGTAGGTTATTATTCTAAGTTATTTAAATTTCTTAAGATAGTATCCTACTCTATTCTTATTATCTTAGTATATATAATAGTTATTATTATAGTATACTATCTAGTATATAATACTATAACTAGGAGCTTACTAGTACTTCCTAACTCCTTAGTTTATTTATTATATTACTTCTATCCTATTATAGGTATAGGTTTCTATAGTTTCTTTTATTTCTAAAGTTATTACTAGTCTTACTTTAGTATTCTTATATATAGTAGCTTTATTTACTATAGTTAAAATACTCTCTATTCTTAGGGGTATCTTATTATTCTTCTAAGCTATATCTAGTTCTATAGGTCTAATATATATTCTCTAAGAAATATTACTATTTTATCATTTTCCTCTATTAGTATAGTTAGTTTATCTAACTAGTAGGTAACTTTATAAGCTTTATTATTATTTCTCTATTTATTATATATATAGTTAGTTATTAATCTTAACTATAAGGTCTATATACTCTAAGGTTATTAGGTATATCTATAACCTTAGTAATTTCATCTTTTACCTCTTCTTTAAGTCCTTTATAGAACTATATAATTATAGGCTTATTATCTTAGTTAAGGTATACTATAATTTATTAGAACCTACTAATATATTCTAATATAGATATCTTCTATTAAATCTCCTAGAGTTATTATTATATAGATTTATCCTTATTAAGGTCTCTAAATACCCCTTAATAGCTTCCTCTATTTCCTTATAGTCCTTAAAGATCCTTTTAGTATTTTTATTTCACTTTAATAGAGTATTCTTATAATAGTCTCTTAGTATAGGCTTAAACTAAGTAATAGTATCTCCCCTTAGGTTACCTATAATAGCTAATACCTTAATATTATCTACCTAGATACTATAGTAGTTATAGTATACCCTTATATAGGTGAGGAAGCTTTAGAGCTTTCCTTATTCTCCTAAGAACTTCTCTAGTAGTAGAAAGGGTACCTTTAGTTTAGTGATTTTAATAGCTATTTCCTTCTATACTATAGTTAAGGCTTTAATTAAGCCTTCTATAATATTAGTATATTCTAAGGTAAGGACTCTAGCTTATACTACTATAAGTTCCTTAGCCTTAGCTTTATTATTAGTAGTAAGTTTTTCCTTTTCTACCTATAATTTCTAGATTATTTCTACTATCTACTCCTTAGTTACTAAGGGTACTTAGGTAGAGGATAATCTATCTCCTACTATAGTTAGTATTATCTAAAGGGTTACTTACTAAATAGGAGTAGTTAATATATAATATTCTAATATTAAGATATATTATTTAGGGTTAGGTTATATTAGGGTTAGAATAGTTAGGGCCTATTAGTAGCTTAGTAAGGTAATTAAATAGTATAATAATATTATTATCTATAATATATATTTAAGTATAGGGGTTAAGTATATTTAAATTAACTATTAGAAAAGATATAGAACCTCCTTTCCTCTAAGGTCTACTTACTTCCTTATATAGACTTTTATATATTTAGGGACTAATAGTCCCTAATATTAGTCTAGGGAAGACTAATACTCTACTCCTATTATTCTAAGGTAGACTAATACTGCCCTGTCGTCGCTCCCTATTAGGACTGACATCTTATTCTAGTCAGTCCTTATAGGCCCCTAGACTAGTTACCATATTCCTCTAAACATTATCCTTTCTACTAGTCTAGACCGCTTCCTAGCCTACTTCTTAGGCCACTTATGACATATGTGACGTTCCAACACTAGGATGTATTGCTTAAGGTTAGGTTATGTTAGGGTTAGAACAGTCGGGGCCTATTAGTGGCTCAGTGAGGCAATCAAATAGTATAACAATATCATTATCTATAATATATATTTAAGTATAGGGGTCAAGTATACTTAAATTGACTACTAGAAAGGATATAGAACCTCCTTTCCTCTAGGGTCTTACTTCCTTATATAGACTTTTATATATTCGGGGACTGATAGTCCCCTAGTGTCGGTCTAGGGAGGACTGACACTCTGCTCCTATCATTCTAAGGTGGACCGACGCTGCCCTGTCGTCGCTCCTATTAGGACCGACGTCTTGTTCCAGTCGGTCCTTGCGGGCCCCGGACTAGTTACCATGTTCCTCCGAACATTATCCTTTCTGCCGGTCCAGACCGCTTCCCGGCCTACTTCTTAGGCCACTCGTGACAGTGATGTCTGTCATATAGGCGTTTTCTGAAAGTAATCGGTTCCCAGCACCCTGTACTATTGTAGTATCTTGGAAATGACGCAACAACCCGTGGATAGCTTTAGTCAGGGGCGGCTGCATACCAGACGCCGAACTGTCGCTTCTATAGAAGTCGATCAGGTAAGAGATGATGGACGTCTAAAGTAATTTGAATTTTGTTAGAACACTGAGTCTCACCCATCCCGTAGGTTGTGCGCTGTAATTCCGTTGTACTGTTCATATCTCTACCTACAAAAATGCCCATGGCACCCAAGCCAATCGGAAGACCTGCAGCGACAAGGACAGCCCAGTTGCCACCATCCTTTGGAGCCCAAGCATTCCTGGAAAAGAATCCTAGTTAGCTATATACTTGAGAATGGAGAAAGCACATGTTTTTGTAGAGTGATGAATCAGGGTGGAACAAGACTGGCCTAGGGAATCGGCGATTTGAAGCTTACCAAAATAGGCCGGCTGATAGAAGGACATTCCCGACCATGCCCGAGTATAGGTGATGTTCCGGCGCAGCCAAACCGTCCTTGCTCTTTTCTTCGCCCCTCCCACAAGGTAAGGTCGAAGGCTATCGCCATGAGAGTCGCCAACACAAACCCAATGGCGATGCTCAGAAAACTAAGGCTGGCCTCGCGCGAGTTGAAGTCGTACAACCGCCGCAAGACGTAGGTCGCACTAGCGAAACAGCTAAAAATCATGGCGTAGGCAAACGCCGAGTATATGGCTAGGAAGAAGACGACAACTTCGGTGCAAAGCATGCGCGTCGGCTTGATGATGGCGCGCGTCATGAGAGTGGTCAACTGGGAGAAGGTGATCCTCGTCGACCCCGAGCCCTGATCATGGCGCGTGATCCACTTTTGCGACGTCTCTTTCATGACGAGGCAGCCCAGCCAGGCTGGTGCCCCTATCATCAACAAGATGTATTGCGTCCAGCGCCAGTCATCGTCGTGGTGATAAAGGACGTGTGTCCCTATCAAAGGGCCCAGCGTGGGACCGAGGAACGCGGTCAGGATAAACGTGATGGATACCAACGAGCCGCCTTTTTGCACTTCCCAGAGGTCCGCGACCGATCCACCGCAGATGGCCACGGCGGGTGATCCGAGAATACCGGCGAGGAACCGGCACGCCAGCAGAGTTTCCACATTCTGGGCTCCGGCCGCTCCGCCCAGGAAGCCCAAAAAAGAGTGGTGGTGATGACGTAGAGCCACTTGCGACCCCAAACTTCTGAAAAAGGCGCGATGAGGAGGGGCCCGAAGCCGATGCCGAGAGTAAAGAGCGTTAGGGGAGTACGGAATGCATTTGGTCTATTCCAAACTCCTGGCCAATGAGGTCCGTCGCGGGGACCGTGACGGAGGTCGCTGCTGTTCTGCGGTGCAGATAAATAGCGTTGGCATATGCATGTAGAAAACGGCCAACAAGGCTGACATCACTACCATCAAGATGTTGAACTTACATGAGAAGGGCAAGGTATGCGGGGATAAAGGTGTGGAACGCTCTTGACCAGATGCTCCAGTTCCAGGGGTTTCGCGGGTCATCCACGTAGGGAAGAGTCGCACTATCTGGCTCATTGTCGGTGACAAAATCCTCCGACAGAGACACTGCTTTCTCTGTATCCTCAGCAGCTACCACGGAGGTCGAATCAAACTTTTGGGCCATGTTGATTCTAATCTTTTGGGAGAGGTATTAGCAGGGAGGCGGGAGACTGGATATCTAGGCTTTCACATCTACAGCGCGGGGCGTCTTCATGCCTTTTGTATCTAAACGCCTAACGAATATTGTCAAGGCCTACACCTAATAATGTTGAATTGATCACCTTTGATCTTTTTAATGAATGGGACTGTACCACAAACGCCCGTAACCATGGCGAGACGGACCGAGACGGACCGAGCCGAAGGGGTCGCCAGTCCTCAGGACTCAAACTCACATTCCCAGTCTGAAATGGTTTCTTTTAAAAGAAAAAAAGTAATAGAATTATCCAGGTTCTATGTCCATGCTCGATGGGGTTTCATATTACTCGGAAAGATTCACTCACCCTCGAAGTTTCCCACACATGGGTCATGTCATGGTGCGCAGGGGAAGCCACTGGGACTCTTAGATTCTACATGTAGCACTGCCGTCAACCAGATTCACTCGGTGATTTAAGTTTTTGTGAAGCCGAGCCATCGTCCCTGACAGTATCGGAAGGGGCGGATGCGAGTGGCTGGTGTTTTCAGCAGCATTGCACACGGAGCCGGAGCGGGTCGTAGATAGGTTGGCGCGCTTTCTTCACGCAAGGCGTAAAATGTGCCCTTTCAACCCAAGGGTTTGTGGGTCGGTGGTGATGAGATCGCCGCAGGAAAATATAGGGTGGGAGCGTGGAGAAAGAGGGCGGCCACCTGCGTTATCAAAACATGAAGTGACTATAACTGTGAAGCGATCAGCTGCTCACAGCTACGGAGAAAGCCGTGCTGTCATACTGAGCCGTCATTCCACCGGATCGGCGGCCGGAGGCTTCAAGCCACCAGTGTCACTACTGCCAATACCACATCAGCCACTATCACCTCCAAACTCAGCGTCACTAGAAGATATGCCTGCGATCTGCCATCTCCATTCGCCTTTTAGCGAATCTTCTTCGTATATCCTTCCCTCCGTACGAGCCGCTGCTCTATGAGAGAGTGCTCGAGATTCATTTGCTTGGAGCCTACGCATTAACGCGTCTTGATTCAGAAGTACATTATTCTATAGTGAAGCCCAATACTTCAGGTCCGGTAGTGTTTTATTACAAATTCCCCTTTGTAGTGCTCCTCGCTCCGAGATTCCTCGCGGATGACAGGATCAGGCACACGTGGGTGCTGAGGGCTACGATGTCGCCGTGCTTATCCATGATGACAACGTCGAGATCAAAGCGGCCATTCTGCACCCTCTTGGCGCTGGTCCGCACAAAGATCCAATCGTTATCACCATCCTTTAGTTCCTTCTTCACCTCCAAATTCATGACCACGGTAGGGTACCAAAAAGCTCATTGTGGGCGTATGGCTCGGGCGGCTCACCCTTCTTTGGCCTCCAAGCTTCCACGACGTAGGGAAAACGTCGGCGACAAAGCCGAGCGATGCGTTGGTAAAGCCCTCGCCAGAGGTCAGCCGGATCCACGACTCCTCAACGCCACGTCTCGGCTGGCCCTTTCGGGGAGAGAAAATTTCCACGTTGAGCTGCGCCCGCGCGTAGCTGTTGGTGCGGGGACTCGGGGACTTGGGTCGCGGGGCCCAGTGGGCGTCTTCGCCCTTGACCATCTTGGCAAGGTCGACGGGAGGGCGCGATGTCGAACTCCCAGCCGGTGGGCAAACTGAGTCCCTTTTCCAGGGAGATCTTGGTGTTGGTGATGAAACCAATCACTTCGCGCCGCGAGCTTGAGGTAACCCAAGGAGCCGAGGTCTGAAGATCATGCTGAAAGAGGGTGATTTGGATGGTGGATAACGCGCGGCCGAGCTTAATGTCCTGGATGATGAGGTAGGCCGGGCCTACTTCGGTACGGTTGACATACTCGAAGTGGGCGGAGATGACGTCGGGTTGGCCGCGGGCGGCAAGATACTCCGACGCCGCGCGCAAGATGCACGAAGCTACGTAGCCGCCATTGGGAACTAGAGGGTAGCTGTCAGCGCGTGGACGATGAGTTCAAGATGGCAGAAGGGCTCCGCCTCCCGCGTAGATGAACTGACCTGAGCCTATACAATAACCTTCGACGAGGTTGGCGGCGTAGACGTGGGAATCTACCACGTTCAGCCTGGTGGCTTCAGCAAAGGGCACGATTTCTAAGCTTTCGGACGTCATTTTGGGAATGTACGAGGCGCAGAGAGTCAAATGAAGCTGAGAAAAATGGATTGAAGAGGATGGATCGACAAGAAGTCAAGTCCAATGTTCTGCTCTGTGGCTATTTGTTCGTCCCCCGGTTTGGACGAGTCTCTTCTCGGCCTATTCTAGACTACCGTGTTCGAGTCCCCGGAAAGTTGGGTTCTAGCTCCGCCGAGCCCATGTGAAGGGTGACGGGGTTGATGATTAGTGAACGTCGATTGCTAAATTCCGGCGCGACTCGCATTGAACCTCGGCAAGTCTCGCTAAACCCCACTAAACAGCGTGGTTTGTGGGGCCACCGTAGGAGCAATTGATCACGTGATATCCTAATTGAGCTTGATGACCGTGCAGTGGAGTTTGAACTTGGTGTTCCTTCAGGTCTCAAAGGATCGTGACTTCTTCGATCCACAATAACCACCTTGCTCAGGACGTGATGTCTAGTCCATAGGATGGCAGGATCACCAGGTTAACATTGAAGGCAACACGTATATATTCCTACAGGAAAAACAGGGGAAACAGGGGTTGAAAAGCCAAGAGAACGCCGCTACCGAACCAAATCCGAATACGCAACCGGCCCACTCCAGAACCTGCCACTAAAAGCCCTCCCACCCAATCCATCCCAATGCAATAGATCAAGATCCAGAACTCCCATATCCGCCTATCCGCATAATCCCCAAAGTCACCCAATGGATTGCATTCATATCGAACAACTGATCACAACTGCCTATCGTATACATACTGCTACGCGATAATACTTGAGCAGGCTTGTCAAACGTGAGGGCTCCTCCCGAGCCTACCTTTGCGTAAATTATCACCAAGGGCGATTTCAAACGACCTAGCGGAAGTGTTCTCACGGTCATCATCAAGGAAACTCTGCATTTTGGGAGTCGAGCTGGATGAATTTTGAAAAAGTGGCCGCAATAGAGGTATAGATGCAGCAATGATGGTAATGGCACCCTCTGCGGTGCCAAAGATGAAGAGGTATACGTTCGATGCTGATCGATGGCGTCAGAAAGACTCGCAATGACCACATCGCAACTGCCCAACAAACACGCGGGTATTAGCTTACCTATGTTAGGGTCAGATATAGTGTAAATGGTCGCCAGCTTGAGAAATGATGTAATTCCCGCGCTAAAAGTCTTGTTAATATCAATTTTCGTGGCGAGCAGACGACGTTGACTTACAAAACACCCATGCTCATCGCAAACAAGACCCCGAGTCTCTCCTTCTTATTGATAGAGGCGTTCCATATAATCTTCCATGGGAAGATGGCCAACACGATATCAACCACGCCGGAGAATACTGTTGTGGTCTTCAAGTCAGCCTCGGCTGTCGCCCCTCTAATCCTTCGCCACGTCATCTTTCGCCTTACCAGTTCCGGTTGTCCCTATGATCTCCACTGTTCTCTTGGGCCAGCATTCGCCCCGGACCGTGATATCCCATAGTCTCTGCACTGGCCAGCACTGGATCCATTGCCCCGTTGCGTTGACTCCGAGGACAACGTTCGTCGATATGATGATGAGCCAAAGCCACCTCTTGGTCCGTCCGGTCGAGATGGACAGGAGCGTAAGGGCAAATGAGACCTTGCTCCAGAGAACTGCGAGGATAGATAGGAAGCCGGCGATATAAGAGTACATGGACATGTCTTGGAGAGTGGCAAGATTGATGGCGTAGTTGGGTTTACCGAGATCGAGGCTCACGCAGACCGACTGCAGCGAAGTGGACGCCAGTAGAGCCAACTAGAAGGCAGGATGCTTCACCGTCAGCGTTGACTTATTCTAGATCTATCGCCGTTTACCCATCAATCGAACTGTTCTCAAAGAAACAAACTAACCAAACTGATGATCAAAAAGTGGTCATCCCACCAGAGCGACCTTCCTCTCGAAATCTTTGAATAGAGGCGGAGGCCGAGGAATAGACTGGCGATACCTGCGAGGAGCCATATTGTTCGATTCAAAAGTGGCCCTATATCGGGGACCTGCTGATCCCTTGAGGCCTCCTCCTGGTCCATCGCAAGGTCTTGCGCTTCTAGAAGCTATCACTACCTTTAACAAACCTAATGATGGGGGAATAAACGGTGATAAGATAGAAAGGCCCACACGGCCAAACCGTGGTTAGGAAATCAAAGGTGGAGCAAAGAAGGAGAGGTCGACACAGGAGAAAGAGGGGATATTGATGGACAGATTCCCGGTTTCCTAGTCTGATATTTACATGTTTATTCCCTCGCCCGCCCAAGGATAAGCATCGTCCTCCTCGGATCCCATCATGCGAGCGGGGAGCAGCGAATTGTTTTTAAGGGACCAGGTAACTGGAGACAGAAATGCGATTCATCGTCAAGTGGGAGGCGCCTGCCATTCGACGGAACAGGGATGACCCGTGTCGCGATGTCGTCGATCCTCTCTGGCTGCGAGAACCAAACTTCAAGTGCGGTCTCTGAAAGGTTCAATGTTGTTTGTTCGTGCCGTCTTCCGGCGTGTTCGGTAGTCTTCTCCCCACTAAAAAGAATTTCCCGAAGGCCTTTTCGGCAAGCGAAACCAGCCCTTTTCCGATCGTGGACAAGAGGGGTGGCGCGGTCTTGCATCTTCCGTTGACCGAATATGGTTCGGTGTGACCCTACCTCGATATTCGCAGCACGTATCAAAGCGTCAGGAGAAGGCGAGCAGCACCCTTAGCTGCGAGGTCGTGGTAATTCTACTCGAAGCGGTCAACCCTCTTGATGAGAATCCGCACAATGTTTCCAATGTCCATTTGCGCAACCATGGCCTCAATTCGATCTGTGCCCTTGAAATGATGGCGCCCATCCCGCTGTCAGAGGGGCTGTCATCCGTTTTTCTTCCCTTCTTTTGTACATGTATTTTCTGAAACATCCCACATCGGGAGGCCCCTGTGATGTAGTCCAGTCGGAGAAGTTATGCAGGGTTCAGCTCTGAGAAACGTGGTCGACGTATTGAAAAAGTCCGCCTTACCCCGCGAATGGAACCTCGCAGGGCGCGTCACAAGTTGGTGTCAACTTGCCACCTGACACCATCGCGACCCTAGTCATGATTGAAAGTGAGGTGGGCGCAAGTGTTTGTTTTACAATCGACAGATATTTGTGCCCTTGCGCAATTGGCCCGGACCACATTCGCAAGTAAAGCGGGCATCCAAAATTAGTATCAAATCGCGCTGCGAGTGGAAACTTGAGCCCTCCCCTCGACATAGACCAACGCACCCCGTGTCTTCTCCTCCAAGATTTGGTGACCTTGCCTGAGCGACTGCCAATGGCATGCAGCCAGGTGAGGGAACGAAGCAGTGGCAAGTGGCTAGAAGGAAAGTGCACACAACTACTTCCAGCGCCTCCCCCTCCATTTTTTGCCCTTTGGATTTGCGCATGTCCCCGAGCCGAAAGGCACGAGGCGGATCTTGGATCCGTTAATACCACCCGAGCTTAATGCAGCATTGGCGACTCTTGTGCGATTTCACGTGAGAGAGACATGGCAAGGAGCTCCAATCATCACATTATTATAGACGTTGATATCTTATCCGAGCAATGTACAACGGATCCATCATTGACCAAGGCCATAACTCATCATACATCATCACCGCCCCATTTAATCGCCGTGCAAAGCCCCTTTTGCACTCCCCATCCTCCGCAGCTTTCATAATCCCCATAAAGTCATTACATATGGCGCTTATCCCAAAATGTCGGCGCAGATAGCCTCAACCTCGACAAGAACGTTGACTAGAATATGAGTGTTAGTCTATTCATGCGCAGAAGTCATACTTTTACGACAACATCACGGCCAACTTACGAGCAGGGATGAGACCACCGCAGGCGGAGACAACGCAGCTGGTCGCGGCAGTGCGAATGGCAGCGAGGTTGTCGGGCTGGCAGCCGCAGGCCCAGTCACCGAGGGCGCAGTCGCTGGCAGCGAGAGTGGCGTCGTCGAGGCACACCTGGGCCTTGCCATCGCACTGGGTGATGGTCTGGGCCGAGACGGCGGCGGCGAAAGCGACGGTGGCGACGGAGAACTTCATGTTGACTGTGGTGGGGAGTAGTCTAGAGACTGGGCTGTAGGAAGGGTGTTTTGGTTGGAGGTGATTGAGTTGGAAACTGTGGATGTGTTGGATGGTTGAAGAGGATGGAATGAGGTGAATGGATGAGGGAGGAACCAGGTGTTTATATACCCCGATGGATATCTTCGAGGGAAGCAAAGTGCCTGCTAACTATCATGTGTCGATGTAGGTTCAGACCCACGTTGAGTGGTATCCAATGCTTGTTTGGATATTTTCTCAACAGACGACGACGTAGCAGCAATGTCCTTCCAGTCAATCATAATGCGGGGATTGTGGGGAGTCATCGTACACGGGGACCGGAGCACGGGGCAGAGGGACTCCACCGGACGCTACGAGAGCTGCTTGGCTTCCCCATACGCACCTCGGCCCTCTCTGCTGATCCGGGGAGCCCACTTCGCTTGGTGGGGCATTGTTTCTACCTCATCCCGGAGGCTACGTGCCAAATTGCATTGCAATCGTCTTTCCCTCAGAAACCTTTTCTAGAGCGGAGAGTAGCAGACTGAAAATAGTCGTCTTCGGCTATTTCTACGGTGAACTTGTCGCTTTCTAGCTTTCTGCTCATTATGCCTTTCAACCACGTCGATTGGGGACTTGTTTCTCTCGGCAGCCATCATATCGAAGACAAGGTTTTGGCCCAGCAATAGCACAGATACAGGAAAGCACATGTTAGAGGCTTCAAGAACTTCGTCACATCGGCTTCATCCCGAGGCTTAACCTGTGTGAATAGAGCCAGCAGTGAGTTTTACCCATCAACGTTGCATCTTCACGCCCATTCGGGAAGGTCATAGCGGATGTGGTGCAACGGGGCGGGGTTAAGGTCGCAGTTCCTGGAATTGTCGCCGACTTGGAACGGAAGGCGGCACGGGAGAGTAATCATGTTTGTATGGTGGTGTAGCTGCAAGAAGTCTGGAGTGTGAACCTGGTTGAAATTGAGCAAAGAAGAGCATCTCAACCGGGCGAACTCGCCGGAGGAGGTCTCCATGCGGCAGTGGCCATGACAAAACTGACATTTGATCGCGGGTTCATAGCTCAACAAGGAGCGAGGCGGTAAACCCCTTTGCCGTTTCGGGACTTTGCTGTTGTTTTTCGTCTCCTCTCTCTTTCTCTCTTCTTTGGTTTTTCCCCTCATGTTTCGATGTTGAGTAATGTACGGCCGTGCGTTCTCAGTGTTAGTTCCCGGATTATTCCCTTGTTTTGCATGCTTTGCGCCGATGGTGGGGTTATAAAACCACGACGTATACCCTCCCCTCACCCGGATCTTGTCTTGATTCAGCGCGGCACAACTGCCCAACGCGGCAGCGCCTTTATGTACCGCCCCGCGGCCAACCTCTCGATCCGTCCAAACACCCATCGTTCATCAGCTGCACGATCCTGCTCATTTCGGCACCGCGCGCGCATTTTGTAATCTTGCGCATCGTTTTGGTGGGACTCTTCACACCTGCTTTGCACTGATGCTGCGGCGTGAAGCCGGCGCTCTGGTGACTGTCCTGACGTACCATCGAAGGAAACATCTCATGGAAGCGTTCGGCTGAGCGGCATCGGTGTACAACAATCCAGCTTGATGGGAAAATGAGGTTGGAGACGATCGGATGCCAGATGCAGAGAGTGAGTGGTTGTCTCAAGGCCGCCTGGCTACCGTCATCATGTCCAATAGAGATCAATGATTTCTTTGCCCAATTGGCTATAGAGGGCCACCAGAGCCTACCGCGACTCAGCTGTTGTCCAGTTAGACAGCAGCAGTTTACAAAGGACCATTTCGCCCGAGCATCACTTCACAACTATCGGCACCACCCCCGCCTCGATCGAGATGATGAGTCGATGCATCGGCGGAGCTAGTCAGGAAACGGGCAAGGCAGCGGCAATCAATCCTTAGGCACCTTGGTCCCCGTCCCCACACCACATCCCCTTTCAACCGCCGAGAACAGACAGGAGCCGCCGCGGTAATAAGAATCATCAATGCTGGCGTATATTGCCAGGCTGGCTCTTTTCGGGATGAAGCGGGGGCCTAGGAGAGCCTGGATGCTACCACGCCCGGGATCACGGTCGCAGGGATGGCAACCGGCCACCACCCCCGCTTTAGGGCCATCATGTCCGGACATTGTCGCGCTTCTGATTGGCGCGGCCAGAGCACATCTCCCGCTTTGTTTGTTCAGGTAATCACCTGGGCTAGTGAATACTTCAAGGTACAGCGTGTCATTCACCATCCATCCTAACATCACCTTGCTTCTCTTCATGCTCTTCATGTCATGTCCTGTAACAGCCGACTGTACTTTGACAGCGCAGTCAAGGAGGCTCAGGGATGTTAGAGCATGTGAAAGGCACATAGTATGGTGAGGGTTTGTCGCGAATGTTCTACGCCTCGGTTTCTAGGGTTCATCGCAATGTTCTCACCGAGCATGGACCGTTCTAGATCATCGGCTTGCTCAATCGAGCAAGTAAAACTCATTCGTAGTGGAAGGATTTGTCTTCAGAAAAGCATATGATGTTCGAGTGGGAAAGAGCACAGACAGCGTTGCAGCAGCCTGACACACTTCCATTCAACACCGACCCTAAGGGAATACCTAGGATATCACCAGTGTCCAAGACGGCTATTAAGTGGATAATTTTGACGGGGAGCCCCCGCGACACTGAGACCAGGTAGTGAACACTGACACTCAGCTATAAGTGGGGAAACTTTGCTCTGCTGCGGCATGGTCTTGGGAATATTGGCAGATGGGGCGATCATATACCGACGTCATCGAGGTAGTGCCAATACCACTAGGTGGTCTCACCGTTATGCAATGGGTACCAAGATCCAACGGATGGCCTCGGTTGGATCCTAATCCTACATTTCTAGTTTTCATGTGATGCCTTGCCTCCATTGTCCGAGCCTCATTCCCTCTGCCCTTCATCGTCTCGGTCTCTAGCCCTGTACGCTTTCTCCTTTACAGCAATCACATCTTCATCTTTAGCTGTCCGCGCTATGAACTAGGCGAGCTCTCGCCATCTCTAGAACCGCATTGGGGTGTATGCGATGAATAGGAGAGGAACTGTGCAAAATGGACCACGGAAACACACCTAGGCAGCTTGTGAACCCGCCTTTGTCTGGGGTAATTTGTAAGTTTCTGGTTGATCTTCTCCTTGCGCTCAAGGCTAACATGATTTATGGACACCTAGCTTCTAACCATGGACGAGGGTGAACAGTCCTGTGGAAAGTTCAAAGCTCGCCAGCCAAGGTCGAATATTGAATATTTTAGAAAGTAAAGCGCAGAAACGCGCGAGCCAAACTAGAAATAACACAAGGTAGATACTCGCGTCGCTCGCATTCACGCTTTCCAGCGGCTCGACCACAACTCCACATTAAGCCGTCGCGTTGTTCCGCTAGACCCATGGAAACCGCCATGCCATCTAAGCAGTCCCCGATGGACTCCTCATGACAGGATCTAAAGTTCTCTTCGTGAGATGACGGTAGCCAAAGATGGGTCGGAAGTCCAGTGGGAACGCACGTATTCTAGCGATTTTGGTCGTGCAGCTCCGTTCTACCTTCCTCATGAGACGCCAGTGTTGTTGACAGATCAAAAACCCTGTTAGCGAGTACCTAGCTACTGACAGGGACTTGGTAATCCTGACTTGACCATCAACGCCGAGCAGAGTGTCCACGAGGGTGCAATGTGGCTGTCGCGGAATATAACGAGACGACGACTCTGGCCTCATCGTCATAAATTGGCTGCAACGTTGACTAGCTTCTGTCCTTAGCTATGGGATTATTTCCATGACATATGTGACGACATGATACGCTTATCTCGAACCACACCGGTTTCGCGCCGAGCCGCTGGCCGCAAGTCTTCATAGCTATGGCAGAATTCGACATCTATTCATGGATCAACGATTCCTGGGCGTCCATCGGATATGCCAGTTACGCAGATAGTTTGCGTAAAGGACAAGCTACGGGAATGCCACTTCGGCTATTAAACCGATCCCACCGAAGGGTAAGTGACGGGGTACACCGGCATGAAGGAGAGCAAGCCCTATCATAGATGGCGACTTACGGCTTCCTATACCAGGCGGCTAAAATTGCTGCGCGCCCGTTGTGAGAAGCCACAGTATGGCGGTTCGGCTCATACACCTACCGTCTGACAAGTCTTCCCTTTCCATAAACTCGACTTTCAAAGAAGAAATAAACAAGTGGCGTGATACTATCAACGGAGCAGTAGCAACAATCTCGTTAAAAGGATGTCTTTCTGTGTAAGATGATCAGATAGCACAAAGTTTAAGCCTCCAAAAAGGGCCCAGTCTACACGTGAGCCATGGCGAGGCCCCTATCAAGACCTTGACCTAAAAACAACTCTATCCTTCAGCAGGACGCGTCTGGGATGGCCCAAGCCCAACGTATCTTCCTAGACGCACCCCTGAGATAGAGCTCGTGGGTGGCAAGGGGTAGGAGTGCTAAGATGTAGGATAAAATAACTTTTGTCATCTTAGACGCCCTGATCATTGAAGAGATTCCCAGAGCCGTGTAGATCAGAACGCTACAACTAGGAGATAGTCCATCCCGGCGTGCTGACCGCAACGTCAATCCAAGGCCGGCATTTATTCTCAAGTGCACAGATAACCTATGGGCTCAGATTGAATGCGTGCGTTATAACCGAGAGTTTAAAGCTATTCCCCTTAAGCTCGCGCATAAGTCGTCCTCCGCGCCATGCACCAGGAGCGCAACGCGAGGGCTAAACTCCGCGAGAAGCCCCGACGCTCGTCGAGATAACGGATGCAATATGATAGCCGCGGGCGAATTCAGCGCGGCCTATAGTACAATATGGCGCGTCTGTATGTCAACTTCCCTTGATCCCCGATCTAGGATGAAGGCGATAGTAAGACCCGAATATTTATCTTTTTCCAAATTTTGCCTTGATAAACTTTGCCTTGATAACCTACGCCTGCTAATAACCGTATATGGGTGGTCCTCGACATGTCACAAAAGTTCG